TCCTCTCGACGAGGACGAACCTGTCTTCTCCTGGAAGAGAAAAAAAGGAACAAAGATTCAGCATAGGAAGAAGTGCATCGCCAAGCGCATCGTCAAGCTGCACCTGCAGAAGTCGATTCGGTCGCGGGTAATTACTATGATCAATTAAATAATTCCTCTAATTAGACCGAGCTGCGGAACGTAATGACAGCCGTCGTTGTCCTTGTCGTTCTCTCTCATTTTCGTCCACGTCGTCGTCGAGAGTCGCTCGTGATCATCTCTCGCGCAGCTTCCGCGATGATAGTTTCGTTGTTCGGATCGCGAGCGTTAATTCGGACAGCTTGATGGATAGTTCGGTGAGAAAGAGTGCGCCGGGGTCGGCTGATTACAGGACGCTCCCGCCGAGCCGCATCTCGTAATCACGCGATCCGTCGTCCGTGTTGATCGATAAGGGGCGATACACCCTTCACCTCTGCGTGGAAAACTGCCCGCTCTTGTTATCAATCCGAGCGGGATCGCTATCGATCAGCGTTCGGTAAATTTAAAGATTTTTCGAGATAATCTATCAGAGACGAGATAGGCGTAAGAATTTTTTATTCCTACAAAAAATATATTTTTTTCTCGTAAAATTTAATTTTCGAAAATAGAAGTCTTGCGCATTTTTAAGACCAATGTCTGATGTTATTTTCTTTAATTAGTTCCTTAACTATTCTTACGATTGAAATATCGATAAAAATATTCACAGTATCGAAGTATTTTCAACATTTTGGATCGAGTGACGTTTACTGATGATCGATGCTTATCGATATCGCGATGATTGATCCGGGAATGCGATTTGTGAAATGTTTGACACGAAAATAATTATGCAACGACGATAATAATTGACGATTCTTTGCATACCGTTGTTTTCTGCAGAATGACACTTGCATTACAAAGTAGCACGCCGATAACAGTAATCATCGTATCCAGGTTTTTTTTTTTTTTTCTTGTTATCATAATTTGATGCAATTTTAAGATATTTTTTTCTACATTTTACAAGAAATAAATTTCAAGGATATTTCTATCTACATTTCTTAATTAATATATTCAATATTTTTAATATTTTTTTTTTAAAGAAATTTAAAATGTTAATCAAAATGAGGCATTTTTCACATATCGCATTTATATATTTATTTGTTCATATATGTACACATGTATGTGTATAAATTTTTATAAAAAGTAATTTCGATTTGCGTTGGAAGGTGCTCATTTTTATGAGAGATCACGGTCCACGAGGAGAGAGTTGGAGAGTTTAAGCACGCGATGGACGATGAAACCCCGACGTGGGCAATTCGCGGCGCAATACGCGAATACAATGTAGCAGACACGTGCAGCACAACCTTTGATATTCACCGACGGTGTGCGAGGGACCGGGCTCCACCTAGACAGGAGAAAGAGAGAGCTGCCTCTTTGAGATACACGACGCGTTTTCCGTCTACGACTTTCTCTCTCTCTCTTTTCCTCTCTCTTTCTCTTTTTTCTCTTTTTCTCTTTCTCCTTTTTTCGCGAGTGCACATCAACCGCGGGACGTAAAGTATTTCAGAGGTGGTAAAGGCTGCGGTGGGAAACGCTCTCGCGGTATGCAAAACGGGTACGTAGGCCAGAAAGAAGCTGCGCGTTGCGTTAGTTCTTTAGGGTGCGACGAAAGTGATGAATAATTATTGATCCATCAATGGCGTCACGCGTGCTTGAGATCTATCCATCTGTTAAATGACGACGGTGTCGAATTACCGGTTGCGCGAGACGCGGCGACGCGATGATAATTAATATTAAAACGAATCGCGAGAAAATTCATTAAGATCGAATGAGTTTTCCGCGAAAAAAAGGATACGCATGCGATGAAACGTATTTATTTAACTATCACAATCATCACTCGCGGAACGTTCTAATAATTAATTCGATTAGCTTGCATTTTAATTCGTCATTTGCGTCATTTTCCTGTCTATTGGCTAAATTATTTAACTTTCATTAAAGGTAAATCAGTCATCCAATGTCACGTATATACGATTTTACTAAAATTTTTATCATATACTCCATACTTGTCAAATTAATTCGCACAATATAAAAACCTTTGTTGATTTAAATTACGTTGTACGTTGTAATATTGGCGAAAATTGAACTGTACGTCCGAGAATTAACGGTGCGTTAAACGGTTAACAATTACGACGGTTTACAGAGATTTAACAATTCATGCGATTCATGAATTTGTTAATATCGATTAAAACGATAGCGCCGTTAAATGTGGAGCCGTGCGAGATTTCATCGTCGCGTATATTTTTGCTTTGACGGCGGCAAGACACCTTGCATTCCCGTCGGCGTCCACGGTAATAAAGTCGCCGGTGAATTGGGTCGCTTGATACGGTGTATGACAGTCAATAGAAGATTCCGCGGGGATTTATTGTGCGTTAAAACGCACGTCGATACGCACGCATACGCACACCATCAGGTACACGGAGAACAATTAGGCTAACAATGACTCTCAAGTAGCGTTCGAATCATGGTTTGTCGACATGTGTTTTCTATTGCCATTGCTTTACGAGTGCTCTGTACTTTTTGTGATTAATTGCGCGATAGTAATACATTATTGAAACAATGACGCATTACTAAAAATAAGATTTAAGCTTTATTTTTAGAAGTAATAAATAGATATTATCTTTAAAAAAATAATCAAAAATATTGGTATGAGAGTTGACATATATAATATATTGATACACAATATATTGATATTTCAGATATTTATCACATTTAAAAAATAAATCGTACAAATATTTTTTAATTATTTTCAATGCATTTTTGAAACGACAAAATCCAAAAATGCGCTAAAAATAATTTTTGAAATTTAATTATTTGTTCAAAGCTCATAAAAGATTATTCGAATCAAGATATCAAATAATAATAGAAATTTATTTTTTAATCAAATAATATTAGAATATAACACGACAAAGAAATAAATTGTGGCAGTAATAAATCGAGAAAAAAATGTGTAATATTTATAATAGGTTTTCGCATTTTTTTATATTCGAAAAATAATATACTTATTTCTTATGCTGCTTAAAATTTTTATCGATGTAAATTATAAAGTATCGAAAAGTCGATAAATATTGCCCTACCGAATTGCTAATAAGCGACCGATTTCGTGATCTCTCCGATCTGCCATCTCCATTTAACTTGTTTATTATTGGCGAAACGATGTCGGGAAAGGGATCGATTGAGACATTCGTTCTTCGGAACACGCCAGTCCTAAGGGTCTTGGCTAATTGCTATAATTAATTGCGTGATTGCTATAGTTAGATCAATCTGGATTGCCAGTTAGAAGAGTGTAGCTTCTGCCATCGTAATGATACAGTTACAGAGATGTATTGGCTTGACGATTGTTCCTCCTTGATTCACGAACTATCACGCGCCACCCGGAAGAGAATTGTCTATGTTCCTTTATTAATTTAATTTTATTATATTGCGTTCTAATCTTACAATTAAATTTTATATAATTTGAACTTTCAAGAGATTCAATGATCGTATATAATTACATATTATATATAACTTCATACAATATAATTTCACAATTTTAGAACATATTTCCAGTGGTATTTTATAAAATTATTTGATTTTATTACTTATTAGAATACTTTTCCGATTTAATTCTATAATTTCGCAATATAGTTCACTTTATAATATAATTTCGTAATCCTCTCCTTATATATAAAACTTTTTTTTTGTAGTTGCGGTTGTAATACCTTTACGATTTAAGTTCGCGATATGACGCAACGGCACAATAACGGCGAAATAGAAGAAACGTTTAACGAGAGATCAGCGAGACGTCTGAAAAAAAAGCAAGGCGCTTAACGATTCAACGAGGAAGAAAAAAGATCGGACGAACGCGCGGTGCGTTTTTTACGACACGGTAGGGCCTTCGACTCTCTTTATGCCGGATCGGAGCATTAAACCGCCATCTCTTTAAAAGCGCCGTATTTCTTTCATCGGCGTTTGCGGTCCGACAGAGTCACAAATAGAACTTGTAACTTTCACATTCGATGAGTATTACTGCTCTAATATTAACTCCGATAGTCAGGGGGTTCATTGAATGCGTTGTGGGCATCAATTATTTTCGTAGATGAGAATAACTTCGATACATCGCTTCGGAATTTCGCGGATTAAATTAAGAAAGGACGCGTTTTGCCATTTTTCGAAGGAAGTCTGTTATCGAGGTGCGAAATATGATCCATGGCATCCTCAGGAAAAAGTCGAGAACTGCGTCGTACGTGTGATAATAACACAGTGTGTGGCGATACTTGCGGTTTAATGATTAAGGGTTCGCGTTAACGTGCCACGATGAAATTACAACGTCGCGCGATGTAATACGCCTTCGCGAAAAAAATGTGAAAAATCACGAAATCAGGTATATTTAATGATCAACCTCTCATGGTACCTTCTACATTTAATATCAACTTTCCCTGGCAATTTTATTGAAGTTTCGCTAAAACTTTGATAAGTCTCTCTCTCTCAAAGAAATTGGAAAATTAAATAGGATTATAGTCTAGCTAGTTTAAAATTTGCTTCACGGAAATTCCGTTGTAATGTGAACTCACAGCTAATGACATCGATGACAAACGATGTTTCGATCTCACTATTAATTATGAAATTTTGTAAGCACGCCTATTCTTGTTAACATAGTAAATTAAAATTTGCAATTTAATTAATTCGTTAATATTCATAATATTGTTGTTGATATAATAATTTATTTATTTTTTGATGAGAGATGCATATTTTTGCTTACGAGATTTTATCTACATTTTCGTATTTTATATTTTTGGTGTATTTATATATGATATTTAGATCTTTTATTAGAATTTTTAAAATGATTGCTCAAGAGAAAAATTTACACCTCTTTGTAGTGCAAGAACGAGCACTTTAGACACCCACGCGCTCATTATACTCCTTTTCATCGGCTCACCAACGATAAATCTGAATTATTATTCTTCTAGGCGATACGGTACCAAGTGCGGCGGTTGCCTTCAAGGGATAAACCCGCAGGACCTCGTGAGGAAAGCGAGAGACAAAGTTTTCCACCTGAATTGCTTCACCTGCCTAGTGTGTCGGAAACAGATGAGCACCGGCGAGGAGCTCTATGTCCTGGACGACAACAAGTTTGTCTGCAAGCAGGACTACCTGTCGGGCAAACCGCTGCCGGACACGCATCACGTGCACGGTCATCACGGTGAGTCGCTTAAATCACCCTCTTTCGATATTTTTTCCGATTATCTCACGTAACAACAAAATCAGCTCGATTCATTGTTATCTTATCTATTTATAAATATCGCGATAACATACAATTAAAATTTTAAATTTATATTACGAGTGTTAAGAGATTAAATTAAAATATGTATAATTAAGTTTATTTTTTTATTAATAATAATAAAGTTAATAATTAACTCTGCAATCGAAATATAAAAAGTAAATTAAATTCATGAAGAAGAGGTAAAACTTAAAAGTATCATGGTTCATTTGTACACATTGTCCACTTTATTTACAAATCGATTTGTCCCGGGATTTAAATTCAAAAGAAACTTATTACATCTAGAGAATTTCCATGCAATCTCTCTGTGTTTATCTTTTCTGTTGCCAATCGATATCGAGACTAGTGCTGTTTCTGATCGTCAATCATCAATGACACGATTGTAATATTCGAGAAATATTTAGCTTGTTTATGATTATACACAAATAAATAATTTCTGAATTTCTGTCGGAAACGTGGACATTTAATCTATATTTTAATATAAAACTTAATATATTTTCACAAAAATTGTGATAGTTAAAAAGACTATAAAAAATTATAAAAGCCATGATTAATTTACTTTAATTGATGCCGAATATTGTGTAAATTAATAAAATTTCTTTTTTTCATCTGTTAATAGAATATGATAAAAATATATAAAATTGAGATATTACAAAAAGGGCAAATCTCTCTCTCTCTCTCTCTCTCTCTGTCTCTCTAAATTAATCTTTTGATTATATTTAAAGATTAAGTTTCGGTCTTTCAAACGGGTCGGCCTGAATACATCGCGCGAGTTGCTACGCCACGATTTCGACGTGGCACGTGGCTGTCAGCGGCACGCGGCCGATCGATCGCGGCACGAAAATTCGCGCGAAATCGCATTTAGCACACGCTCGGTTCGGCTCGGCGCGCAAACAAAGTCAACGCACAATCGCCTTCCATTATATCGATCTTCGCGCGGCTGTCACCGGAACGCGGCGCCGTTGCTGTCCAGAGAAAACGAGGAGAAGGGCGTATTATCGCGACAGCACCTCCTCGCACGCTCCCCTCGGGGTTTCTCGCGCCCGATCTCGGGCGCATTTTACGATCACCTCTGTCGTTTCCGTTCTCGCTGCCGATAAATAATTTTATCCATCGCGAGAAAGAGAGGGGTCGTCATAAATTATCGCGCTAGCCGCCGCCGATGTCAAAGTCCCGAAGAAGCAGCCTATCTCGATTTCGATGCTCTTTGACCGGGGAATCAAAAGACTGCCGATGCTTTTATGACGTTTCGATGCCGTCGAAACAAAAGAAACATTGGCGTTAAAAATATATATTCATGTTAAGGCACTTGTTTTAAGTGAAAAAAGTGCAAACCGAAATTATTAAAAATATCGATATTTTCATTACTTGTGATATTAAAATGAAAAAGTTGAATATCCCATTAAATTCACGCATTCTTACGAACAAAGGCAAGATCCGATGTGCTTGAAAATTTCACTGGATTTATTTTTTCGAGCGGCGAGGTCGAGGGGGTCACAGTTCAACGCGCACGCCGCCACAGATTTCACGGAGTCAGGATCAGTCTAAAAAAAAAAAAAAAAGAGGACCGGTGGATCGATGGATAGAGGGGAGCGGGCAGGTTTTCACGGGGGTTTCTACCCTGAGAGAGAAAGAGAGCGAGGGAGAGAAAGCGGCAAGCTGTGAAAACAGCTAGGCGCGTATGCCACCGTGAACCACCGGTCGAAAAGAGAGATAGAAGGAGAGAGAAGGAGCGAGAAGGAGCGAGAGAGACGGCGAGCCGGCTCGGTTTCACGAGGGCCTCACTCGTATATAAGCCGTGAAACGAAAACCGAAAGGTCGTTAGGCAGGGGGCGAACCTTTTGTCGCTCCGTTGCCGACGCCGAAACCGCAAAACGCCCCGACAACCCGTTTCTTCTCTCTCCTCGCTCCATCGCCTTTTTCTCTCAGGGCCTCGATGCGCCGCGTTGTGTTCGCCGTACGTGAGACAATGTCGTGGGACAGCCAACGCGAGCGCGAGAGAGCGCCACGAAAATGATTTACGCTTCAGCCGCGGCCGATTTGGCCCGCCGACTCGTCGTCGATGAGTTTCGCGTTGCGTACCGTCGTCATCGTCGTCGATGTGTTGGCGTCGGGGGGGCGTAAGGGACCCTGGGGCGCATACCTGCGGATCCAGGAGCGGATCCGTAAGCCGCGTCAAGTGTCACCTCGAAACGATGCCTTCGCCGAAGGATTTCATGATTTTCTGACGGGAACGACATGGAGAGATTTCACGGAAAGGGATTAGCCATTATAACAAAATAACAAAAAGATGGAACAAAATGAACTGTAATCAAACATAAATAAGCATGTAATCAAACATAAATAATATAAAATAAAATAAGAATAAAGCAGCACGCGCGATATCATAATTAACGAGGAGTGACAAGAAAGATCATACAAACAAAATAAAATAAAAATTTAGAATGATAAAAAAATAATCGGTATTTAAAAAACATGCTGGTAAACATAATTGATATAGTGAAAGACAATAGAGAATAGATACGAATAGAAAGAATAGAATTTTATTTTATTTTAGCTGTGCGGATTTTTAGTTAGAGCCAGAAATTGCGCAAATTCATGTCGTATCTCTTCTCTATTGTCTTTTGTTATATTAATTATTTTTACTAGCATGTTTTTTAAATACTGATTATGGATAACTGGAGGGAACAATGAAAGCAAGTATGAGGTACCGCTCGAAATCTTTATCGCGTGGAGAACGAATTTGATGCGCAACTGGGGGCAGAATGTTGACGCGAGCTTTCAGAATGATTTCGGGCCGATGATTAAACGACATGACCGTCTTGATGCTCGACACTTTTTCAACATTAATCTCTGCCATCCGCTCGGCCATTTGTCGGTTGTCGAATCCGCGGCCATCCTTCTCTCTCTCGGCGGCGCGAGCCCTGAGAGCACGATAATTATGTTCGTAAAGACGATTAATATCCGGAGACACCTATCGCCATTTTTTCGGCGGTTCCCGTCGTAAAATATATTGCGCTACGTTGAAAACATTTCGAGCGAAACACCGCTATTAAATGCGAAAGGTACCAGTAGCCGATTCTTAAAAACACTACTGGTCGCTCGCAGTATTTTACAATTAAAGTAACTATATATATCAATTAAACCTAATGCTAAGAAAATGGAATTGTTTGTGCATTTAAAGTTTTCGAATATTTGTTTTCAGTTATTATAATAATCATATATTTTTCTCTTAAGAAAAAAATTATTTGATAAATTGTAAAATAATTGCATTAATATACACAAACTTTTATTTATTGTTAGAAGAAACTTTTTTATTTTTAATTATGCTACGTAATAAATCTCAACATCGATTACATACCGAAAAAAATCGATTCTTCTTTATATATATCTCGTATAGTAGAGTCCCTGCCGTCGGCAAACGTAATCTCTCTTCTTTTAAGCGAAAAAATACAATTGAATGCCGATTAAAAACTGCGAATTGAGCTGTTTTTACATTAAAACATAACTATAATATACTCATATATACAACGACTAATCTATATTTGCATGTTTACTGAAAAATGGAATCGCTGATTTTGAAAAGAATAACCCTTCGCAATTACACAGAAACGGAAATAACTTTCGATTATTAAGTAAAATTGCAAATAAAATTTTCTTATTCATGTCACGAAAAAAAATTAGTTTCCAATTTTGTTAATTTGATTATAATAATAATTAGATATATTTTCGTTATTATTGCACAAGATACTTTATCGATCAGGTTTCCGTTTCTCTTCTGTGCAAAAGCGAATAGTAATAATTTGTGCATATGGAATTGATCGCGGTTGTTTCCAAAAATCGGCGATTCGTTCGTCAATGTTATTAAAAAGGTCGGTGTCTCGCGTCGTTCACGAGCAGAACCGTCCAACCTGTCGGCAGGCGGAGACTCGCTGATGGGCTCAGGATCGGAAGACGAGGACGAGGACGGTAGTGCTCATCATCATCATCACGAGCCGACCGTTCGCGGCGCTCATCTGGGACCCCATAACATTGGCTCAGGTGGTCCCGGCGACCAGACTGTCGGCCATGGTGGCGAGCTACCTCTCGGGAGCGATCCCTGCAAGCAGGAGGATTCCGAGGATCAAGGTAAGTTTTGACTTGTTTACAAAAGATATCATAACTACGATGATGAAACAAAACAATCCGTGCAATTTTTTTTAAAAGAAATATTTATTGAAAGTTATTTTTTGACGTAAAAATACTAGTTTTATAACCTTTACGTGAAAAAAATTTAGTATCGTGCTAAATTAAATCCTTCCTTTCAAATTAAAAAAATGATTCATCTAAATTAAATTCATTATCTCTTACAAGTGAAACATGTTTGAAAAAATTTTGTATTAAATATTGTTTTTCTTTAAATGCACGGATTTTTTACGTGATATAATAAAAAGATTTTTTTTTCAATAGTTGAGAAAATTGTCTTTAATCCTTTTAATCGCTTTTTTGTATAAACGATATATTATAAACATAATATTTTAACGTTAAGATAGATATTTTTTTTATGATAATTTTATGCAGCAACTGCCTTTGAACAGAATAAAAAACATCTTTGTTATCTAAAACGTAAAGGTTGAAAGATAAATGTCATAAAAGAGTAACACAAAGGATTATGAAAGTCAAATAGTCAAAACGTGAAGGACACACGCGTGAAATATCTAAGCTGTCATCTCGATATTTCACGTGTACATCGTACACACATATGTATACATATCGGCAAGTGAACTAAAACTCGTAAGTTTTTCCGCAAGTCCTCGAAACTCGATCAAGAGCAATCGACTCAATCGAACCACCCTCGGAGCCACGCATTACCACGTCACCCCACAATCTCGCGGGTACGAATTCGCGGCATCGCGACGTCACCAGGGACGACGCGGGAGAAGCCATCGAGCTATTATATGGCTCCTGCTCTTTTATCGCGCATATAACAATCGGTCCTAGCTATATACATCGCCTAGGCTAACCCTCCTCGCGTGGGTCTCCTATACATTATACGCGCAACACAAGCATTTCGTTTGAAAGAGGGAGGGAGCGGGTGTCTTCACGAAGGGTGGCCTCTCGTTGTGCAGTGTGACACTGTCCAAACATTTTCTTTGTCCCGTGGTTAAGACCTACCTACTCGTTATACATCATATGTACGTGTGTATAGATTACTATGGAGAGTCGAGATACTTATATATGCATGTGCGTGTGTGCACGCGTATGCGGGGTACGGCTTTCAGCGCGCGCGGCAGCAGCCACGATAATCCGATGGGGGTTTCGCATCGCTTCCGGGGGATTGGCTTCGATTGTTGTTACCTCGATCCGGCCGATGAAGATACCGGGATACACGGGGTGTCCCAGACCTACCGCGCTCTCAGCCTCTCAGCTGTGATCACTTCAGTGAATTTACCAAACGATTGTCCCTCAACGTTTAACGGAAATTATTCGTCGCAATTTGTTAAAATTTCCATTATTTCCTCTAGGTATTTAATGATTTTAATTTTTAATTTACATTCATACAAATTAAATAAATCGAGAAATTGTATGTAAGATAAAATTCACAGGAAAAGTTAGCGGTGATATTTATCTCGTTACTAAATTTGAATATCTTTCAACGTCAAAATTTGCTACCTTGATATTGAAACATTGCCATCATTTTTTGACCTTTAACATTCGCGTAAGACACCCGGTGTATGCGCTTATATATACGATAAATTTCCTGATCGAAAATGCGTTTTTTTGAAATAGCTTCAGTATTGCTGTACAGGCAATCGCAACTTGACGGGCGTTACTTAGAAACTCCCGTAATGTAATGATGACTCGTGGCTCAGGATGACAAGTTATTTCTGGATTACCGGCGAGTCACGCGTCAGCGGATACGCATAGTTTAGGATTAAGAAACCGACTATCCCATCGCTATAGACCGAGTATAACGAATGTGGTGTAACGTTGAAAATATTGTGTCAATCTTTTTTCCCATCAGAGGTCGACATGTTTTTATCACTGTAAATTGTGTAAATTATATAAATAGCTTAGCAGTTATTAAGAAGCTAGGATTTAAGAATATAGAAGAAAATGATTTCTTTAAATTTAGCAAAGTTTTAATATTTTATTTCTACTTAAGATTATTTCGCAAAAATAAAATTTTATATATATGACAAGCGTACAAATATCAAGATTGCGCCTTTCTAATAAAAAAATCAGTTTGGTTGCTTTATCTATGTTTAATGAATAATTAAAATATTATAATCTAGAAAACAAATTGCGATGTTTCATATTTGTAAATTCTAGTTATGTATACATATGTGTGTGTAGTATGCAACTGGGTTCAAGAGTTTCACGAAACAGAAAGCGAACAGAGTTACTCTCAGAAATGTTATATCTTCATCTCTTTGAGAATTACCATTGTGTTTAAAATCGATAGGCATGTCTGCGAAACTCGCTATCGCGACAGATACAAGCTTTTCTCGCAATGGGGCTAACTTTGCTGGCGCTTGTCGTAGCGATTCGGCGAATTTTATAAGTCTCAGGTGGTGACGATGATTATACGATAGTGATGTGGCAGCTCGGCTTTGATCGGTTGAAGGTTCCCTGGATGGCGATCCCGAGACGAGGGACAGCCAAACGGAGAACAAGAGCCCGGATGGCGGCGCCGGCGGTGGCAGCGGCGACGGCGGGGCCGGCTCGAAGCGACGTGGCCCGCGGACCACCATAAAGGCGAAACAATTGGAGATCCTGAAGACGGCCTTCTCGTCGACTCCGAAGCCTACCAGACACATCAGGGAACAGTTGGCGAAGGAGACCGGTCTGCCCATGAGAGTCATACAGGTAAGAGAAAGTTTCTCTCTCGCATCACGTTCGTAATTTGTGTGGTGAAAAAGTCGGTTGCTTCTTTTTAAGTCATCATTTTTGCTCTAAATTTTATATGTATAATGATTGCAGTCAATTTTAACTAAATCTCATAGTACTAAGTCTCGAGTGAAAATTTTGTTGAAATTTCGCTAGAATTAATTTGAGAATGAGAGTATAAATGATGACTCGTGCTCTTCTCTCTTCTCAATTTATTTTATAATATTTGTTATTAAATATATAAGTGTGTCGTTTGTAGAATTTTCAATTCTTTTTATTTTTGTAGAAAGAATCAATATTGAAACAAATACTTTTAAAACAGAACTATGGTCTTATTATTCTCAGAATATATATATAAAAGAGAATAATAATTATATAATAAATATTAATATAATTCTTATAATAAAATAACTTAATTTAATAATTTAATTTTTCCTTAATTTATATTGTTTATTATTAAATATTTTGTTGTGTTACTGTTTGCATGATTCTTAATTTGTTAATTTTTATAAATACTATATAGTTTATCTTTATAATATTTATCATTACTAATATCGAAACGGAAAATGTGATATTAAAAAATATTTATTATGATGATTTTTATTATCAGCACGAAGAAAATATGATGCTTTTATGACAGCCGTCGTCTAAATTATGTTTAAAAGTGAAGCTATGCTAAAAAAATGTTATCCGCTACCAACAAGAAAAAAAAATGCGTCGACAAATCATTTGCCAGAGAATAATTTGCTTGGCATAGTGACATCATATTATTTACCGCGAAATAATTTCGCGACAATGCCACCGGTAAAATTGCAGTTTATCGCCGATAAAAAATTGTTTGTCATGGTTTTGTGGGTCCTAGAATACAAAGAAAAGAATAAAATAAAATAGTTTAAAATATACTGGGTGTCTACAATATAATCGAAAAGAGAATATTTATAGTTTATATAGCAGTAACAACAACATAGAAAGAAGAAAAAGAGAACGAATACTTTAAAATTTTAAGAAAATGTACTGTGTAGTATTTTAATATCTATTTGAGCAAGATTCATAATTACAAGATAAATATGCGAAAATTGAAAGATGACGGGGAAAAGAGAAGAGACCGACCGTCGTTAAATAATTCAGCGATTAAATTCAGCGGCCGGTCTGTCCGCTTGCTGCTTCTAGGTCTGGTTCCAGAACAAGAGAAGTAAGGAGCGCAGGCTGAAGCAGCTGACGTCGATGGGCAGGAACCCCTTCTTCGGAGGTTCGCGCAAGATGCGTGGCTTCCCGCTGAACCTAAATCCGGGTGCTCTCGGTGGCGAGGATGGCCCGCCGCCAGGTTTTCCGTACTTCGGCCCGGACAAATTTGAATTCGGCTATGGCGGTCCGGTGGCCTTTCATCACGAGTTCTTCGGTGCTCATCCGCCCCCGCATCCGCACGGACCGCATTTCGCCGGAACGGGAAATCCAGGTAAGTCTCTCTTTTCCTTTGATTTATTTACATCACAGAAGAATAATATAAGTCCTACTCTGAAATGCAACTTGCGGGAATAGCACGGAATCGACCTATGTCTATCGATTAACAGGCGATCGTTTTAGCCACAGAACAACTCGACTTTTCACTTATTCTTGCTAGCATATTTTCTTTCTATTATATTATACTTAAGAATAAATTCGAATAAATCCCTTTTGCATTGGAAACAAATAAAAAATCGCGAGAGCTCCGAAAATATTGAACACGGTATAAGATAACGATGTCGCAAACAAGTGTTTCAAACAAAAACCATCAGTGATTTCGACCTTATTTTTTATATCATGTCGTGCATTAAAATTTTTTCTAGAATCTTGCTTTTTATTTTGATATTACAAAAAATTGCGAGAAACCGCCCTCCGTTTGCCTCGAAAGATCCACTTGGAGCAAAAACGGCCGATCTACGCCGAAAACCGGAGCCCGAGAGTCTAGTCCCAGAAAATCTCGCGTAATTATAATAAACCTCGAATCAAGTAGGTAGGCCCCCGCGATAATTATGACAGCCGGTTTCGGAGATGGCCGGGCGGATACGATCCTCTCTGAGAGCAGTACGTAATCTGTTTCTGACAGGCCTGGACCCGGCCAGTTTAGCGGGCATGGCAGCGGCAGTGGCGGTGGCAGGGGAGTATCCACCTCCGGGCGCGGGGGGCGGCCCTCCGGAATTTCTCACGGGGCCCCCCGGACAGGGGCCCCCTGCACCCACCGGCGGCAGTCCCGGAGAGTTCCTGGCACCTTCAGGTAAGAGAGGGAAATATCCCCGCCAAAGCCATTACCACCGAAAAACCGACCGAATCGCGATCGCCGATCTACCTCAATCGTGCCGTGCCTGCCCGCGAGCGAACTTTATATTTGCGCTCTCGCACCGATATATTAGCGTTATTTTCGTGATGCCGGATGGCGATGCGGCCATTAATTCGCAAATCGCTTTAAGAAAATTGAAATATTCTTACAGACTAATATTCTACAAGTATCTATTTTTAAATGTCAATCGTAATTTTTCTAAATATACCTAAATATGATATATATATTTGCTCTTTCTATATGCAATTTTTATGTTAACATACGTTAACATTTTAATTATTTTTCTCAACTCCGAACAACCTAACTTTTTGTAATTTTGAACAAATTTATTGTCGGAAAAGAAAGATTGTAATATTCGCAACGCCATTTCGTGACGATTATTCGTGACGATTTATTATGCACATCTTTGTTAGATCGAACATGCCGTGTCGTGTTAATTAGAAACGCTTTAGTCTCGCGGTATCGAATCGAAACTGTTTCACGCCATTCAACGTTTCACGTTGAAACGAAAATTACACGTTGCTGTTAACCTTTCGCACACGGTATCATTTTTATTATATTGCATCGCGCTATTATTCACACAGTCGCGATGTTATTTCGTGCACGAAGGATACGCGTGCGAGGGACTTCTATCTAAGTAGAATTTTCTGCAACAAAGTACGGCAGTGTGAATGTCATTTCCTTCGAAACCCGTCATACGGATAATTGAGATCCGACAATCACAGCGTGACCTTTTGCGATATGTCCAATTTTAAAACTACATTTTCCAACTTGCGTCAGATCTTCATACATTCATGCCTTATCCGCTGTCACTGACGTATCAATCAAATCACATATATCATTAAATAATGTTAAAGAAAATATAGTTAGCGCGATAATGGCATTAATAACTATCATATTTATAAGGTGAGATGTTTAACGTGGCTTCTGTGAGCTCAAATTCGAGTTTGGAAAGTTTTTAGTTTAAAGGATAGTGATATTTTTACAGTATTTCTTATTCATAAAAATGTAGCATTAAATATTTTAATGAGTAAAATATACATAGATACACATGAGTACATGATGAAGGTTTTATCAAAAGAGCGTAATCCAAAATCGCCACTTTATAATGAGAAAAAATTTTTAAATTCGAATTTTATAGAAATACAATTTCCATGCATTTTTAAAAAGGTAGAAATACAATTTCCATACATTTTTAAAAAGGTAGAAATACATATATATTTCTAGATTTGCAAAATATTAATTCCTGATTTTGATGTTGTGTTATTGTAACTTCTATTGAAATTGAGAATATGCCCTTCTATAATGAATCTTTCAACATACATGTATATTTAATGCCACATTTTATAAGTAAAAAATATATAACACATATCATAATATACATAACATATACACATACATGTATTATTTTTCAAATATAATGATATTATATGTGTATGTATATGTGAAACTCGAAGATAGTGAAACTCGAATTTTATGGCTGACCAAGTTTTTCCGTCTTCACTGCCTTTGTACGAGGAATGTTACAAATTTGCAATAAATAAGGTCGAAAAAGAGAGTCGAGCAATTATGCTGTCAGAAAAGTGGTTGAATTTATGTAAGAAATATTAAACGTAACACATTTTTATCGCGCGCGAGATCGTATATTAATATTTATAACCCGCCGGCGGCGGATTGTCTCGCCGACTTTCGCGGGACTTCCGGCCGCTAGGCTGACCCGTTGGGTCGCATCGCATCGCGTCGCGTTGTGGGATTTAAATCTTAATTGGCATCGACGCCGTATGCGTTCGCTTGTTCCCAGGTGGTGCGCAGGGTAATCCGAGCGGCGGCGGGAACGGCAGCGGCGGGCCAGGAGGCGGCGGCGGCGGCGGCGGTGGCGGGGTCGCGGCCGGCGGATTCCTGGAGCCGCACCAGATGCAAAGCGAAGGGCTGGCCTGGTAGTACGAGTTTTAATTAACGTGTCCCTTATAATAATAATAATAATAATTCCGCCCGCACGCCTAAAAAAGCGAATGGAATCGCGAGATCGCCGCTGAGAGAGCGGGGAGCGCGAGAGGGGGCGACGGCGGCGGCGGCGGCGAAACGCGATTTCGCGTCCGAGGGCGACGGAAGGCTCGGCGCTCCGCTGCTTTTCCTTTCTTTCTATTCTTTTTTTTTTTTCTTTCTGTCGTCTTCTTTGTTGTCTCCTCTTTCTCTTTTGCGATTGACTCAATCGAGACACTATCGATCTTTCTCACTCGTCGACTCTTCCTTTCTGTAAGATACAGACACGCGCGTTTGTCTGAGCGCCTTGATTCACGGTTATTGTGCAGTCGACGCTATTAGCTTTATTATTACGCATCTCGGCGCCGCAACGTCGATGTTACTCTATTTTTATTATTATTAATATTATTATTATTATTATTATTAATTATTATATTATTATTGTGTATAAAATTCGAAGGTCCCTATCGTGTAATATTGTACCCTCCCTGTTGATTATTTTTGACGTTATTTTGGAAACACCCTGTAGATAACTGCTGTTGTACACCTGATAAAAAACGTGAATCGCTAGACACACATATGACATGCAACGTCACACGCGCTCGCGTATACACAGACACACACAGACATTTGGAACACTGCTGTACTAATATTATCATTAAAGTATAAATATAAATAGGAAACGTGTAATTTTTTTTGTATCTGTAAGGCGGCGAGATTGATGTAAATACACACGCAAGAAAAAAAGACACACAGAAACACTCTCTGTCCTCTCTCTTTGCTGAAATGCGCGCGAGCCGATTTGCGCTGGACTTACTCATTAAACGACACACCGGAAATAAAATATGTGTATCGTGACACAACACACAATACACCGAGTAAGACAGATCGAGAAAGAGATGCGCCGCCGCGACGCATAACGATTATAAATATTATTATAATAAACCACCTCGTATTTCCGTATGCTGTGCTGTGCATTTCACTTCCTTCTGACCACCGTGTGATATTTCTCTTCAACTGGATGAATGATGTCGCAATGTCAAAAAAAGATATAGAATAGAATAGAATAATTACATATTTGATTTTTTTAATGAAAATGTAACATGTCATTTTTCTAAGGACCATCGAATTAAATTAAAATCTTAAATTGAATTACACATTTAAATTTAAAAAATTAAGTTTTTAAATTACAAGTTTAATTTCGTACTATTTTTGTAAGTAATTGGTGATTGGTCTTTACAAAAATATCTTACAAATTTTTGATAATTGACTAAATTATTTGCAAGATTAAGTGAAATCGATTTTTTCTACTTAGAGTCCATCGCGCCAGCAATGGTTATCTTCGTCGTAGTTAATCGATCAAGATTTGCAACACTATTGATGCGACAAATCCTTCGCTTTATGTTAATGAGAAATACGTGTGTAACTATTATCGGATAGCGATCGGCCGCAAGTGCACCCTTGACGACGGAAGTTAATGAGGTAAGTAACTATTTACGTTTTTTATTAGTACGTGTCACGCTGTCTTCGATTTCCGTATTTATTGCCGTCGACAGACGTCGACAGTCGTTCAACTTGTCACTGTCATCACGTCGATTTCAATGACATTATCCTAATGAGCAGCGATGCTTGACCACGAATTCGATACAGTGGTATGGTTATATGCCTAGGGATCGAGAAAGTTGTCGGAGACAGTCTGATATACTTGCTAGTAGCGCATAAATTAAGTCGTTTCTTTAATTGAATGAAAAAAAAGATACTGGTTGTCACAACGAGATGATCAAAGACATTAAAAAACAAACATGTGTTTTATTTTTACGAAATCGATGCTACAAGATATATTTGCATGATAGAGAGATCCAAAAAAATTTTTGTACGCTTGTCATAATTCAATAATTTTAAACTAAAATCAATTTTCTGTAATTTTCGAGGTAGCTAGTTTATAAATTATGTCAGATTTCTTGTATATTTTTGCATACGCTTTGGGCAGCTTTCGTATGCAGTTGTCGCGTTTATATGCCGCCAATCAAGTGTGCCACATTACGTTACACCACGTTACGCTATGTTAAATGTATACGCTGCGTGTCTGCCAGTTCGCAACGGGCGCTTTTTTCGCGCGTCAAAAAGCGCGTTGGACTTATTCAAAAGGCAATCCGGCTAAATACTGAAATGACGTGCGCGGAAAAATTTAAAGCGAAAAGCAGGTACACACTCGCCGCGTATGATGACGTAACAGAATTACAAATAACAATGCCAACGTTCGTCTGTAAATCCATCGTTGAAATTTTGCTGAAATTTCGTTAAATGTGCGTGGCATTCACATTCTAACATTTCTTATTTCCTTGCTGATTTACAAGTAATTTCCACAGCAATTGTTATCTTGATAAAAATTATATTGATATCGAATCGATAAAATTATAAAATATTGTGTAATCAAATTTTTAAATTTAAATCCCTTTTTTAAAATCACTTTATATATGTATTTATTATGTATTTAAAGTTATTTTAGAAAATTATATAAATAATATGTAATATTTATAAAGCAATTTTAAGAGAAAAATGGGTAAAGTATATCAAAAACATTTTTCACGCGCAGTAATATTTAAGATTATTTCTATTTTTTTGATTGAAATATATTTCTCGCAATTATTTCATCAAAAATTTTTCAATTAAAATAACAATTACATTGATAATTAGATAAATTACTATTGTGTGATTATCAGCTTCTCGGTTATTTTTATCTGTTTTTCTTTTTTTTATTCTTTTCCTTGTAAGAGAAATGTTCTTGATGAAAGAGGGCGAGCTCAGGTGGCGAGCCAAATCCTTTTCCTTCCCAAATCGCGGGCCGTAAACACATCTGCGACCGGCGTCGCCCTGACGTCGTTAGCGGATCCTGGCGTCGTTGTCCTGAGGAAAGGAAAAGAGGAGGGTGCGCCTCGTCGTATCGGTCTGGACATCTGGTGAATTCGATTTTGATGTGTTTCGGCGCCCCCGGGGGTCCAGCGAACGTCCTTCGCCTCGCATCCTCGACATGGCCCCTCTGGGGCCGCCAACTATGCTGCCGCGTGTACGTATCCCCATGTGTTTGGCCTACATCGCGTATATACAAGCGGTTCTTACTCCCGGCGCTTGTTGCAAGTGCATCTACTAAGTGTGTGCACACAATCGTTGGTCCCGTGTCGCAGTTTACTACACATGAGCGCTAACAAGGTTTCGTTTAAAACAACGGCGTTGACAGCAATTTAGGTAAAGACCCTCGACTTGAAACTTTACATATTTTAAGGAATCGATCGGACAAATTTTCTCCTTTTGAAAAAATATTTCCTCTTTATTATAATAATAAGAAAAGATTAAAATTAAAATATACCATCAAACTTATGTTGCTGTTCTTGTTTCTTTTTTTATTAAATTTTTTAAAGAGATTTAATTTTTTTTCTAGTAAGTCAATCATCTTTAATAAAAAGCAAGCTTTAAATTATTATATAATTGGAAGAGAGCTTTCTATCGAAGATGCTTGAGTATGATAAATACTAAAGAAAATGAAATGCTATAAAATCATTAAAAATTAAAAAGAAACGAAAATAGCAACTAATGTTTGATGGAACAGTTTGATTCTTTATTGATATAAAAGAGGTATTTATTCTCTATCTAATAAGAAAATACAGATTACATCTGTGAAATAATGTAACATTAAAAGCGCTTGGCTTACTCCAGAGAGAATTCGATGTGACCCCTTTTACCATGTGGCGGGAGTTTGGCGTGTAATTTAGCCGGATAGTTACCGCACGCGCGCATATGCGATGTAACGTGCGATGTAACGACGTTGACGAAGGCGTCGGCCTTCCGTGTAATATGTGTATTCTGCGACGTTGGCAGAGTCTCCTCCGGGATGTCTCCCGCGAGATTCGACAGATGCGCGACCCGCCTCCGTGCCCTAGGAAGCCACGGGCTCCCGCGGGAGTTTTGCAGGGACAAACCGTCCCCGGGGGGTCGCAACCCTCGATCCTCGTGTATCCCCGTATTCTCCTATTACCTTCGTTCGTGCGGGATAAGAAAACGAGAATACTGGAGCGAGCGACATTCTTGTACACCGTTATCGCATTAATAGGATAAAAATCCGATCAAATCTCGCAGAATCCTGTCGCGATTATTTTACCGGACATTAATTAGCTATTATGCACAAAAAGCCATAATTTTGAAACCTGAGTTATTGCAGAAACGAATGGTAAAAAGGTTTTTTTTTGCGTTATGCAATTTGCAATATTTATATATATATTTGATGTCGAATTTTAGTTATTATATATTTAAAATTGCGTAAAAAAATTAGCGGTTTCAGGCATAAAATAATTTTCAGATAAGAACTTTTTTTTGAATATGTATGCAAAAATGAAAAATATGCATACTTAATTATTAACTTGATAAAAAAATCTATCTTAAGATATTATATTTAATATATGCAATAATTTCAAAAGAGTAAATACATGAGAAATATTTGACACATATATATATATATATATATAAATTTGATAGACTAAATTATACATATAATTAACAAAAAAGTTACGTTTTTCTGAAATTATTGTAAATTATTATCTCTTAAGATATTTTTTCTTTCTTGATATATATTTTCCAAATTTCTACATGCAAGTTCCAAGACAAACTTTTATTTAAAAACTATTTTACATCGTTCTAAATCGTTATTACTATTTGTATATAAATCGTATAGATCTTTCAAGTAATCTTTAGATTATTTTCACGGCGGCAAACTGCGACATAAACGTTATCTATACTATCGATAATACCGACTATACATTCACCGATGCGTATCTACCCGTCAGAGAGACGTTTGAGGAGATATGTAGAACAGGACGATGAAGAGGGGTTCCCAAGGGGTGGTTCTAGGGCTAAGGGCCGCCGACGTGTCACAGTCCAACGCGCTTCGGCGACTCGCTCACGTGTCCATGCACGTGTCGTAAAACGAATCCTCCCCTTCCCTCTCTGTCTGCTATCATTATGCAAGGAGGCCTTACAAATCACGCCCTGCTTACCGTGGGCACTGTCATAAGCTCGAATTAACACGACAGTGCTTTGAATTAATCCCGGGACCTACATCCCCTCGATCGTCGAAACACCAAATTTTTGTTCTCTTCAAGTTCTTTTTCAAAAAGCTCTTTTTGAGGAAGCCGATTCGATGTCGTACGATCGATTTTCTGTCGCTTTGATATAAATTATTTCATTTCTATTGACAAATCTAGTTATAACTTTGATTAGATCTTTATCAATCTTACGTAAAGAGGTACTTGAAATTAAATTTATATTAAAAAAAGAGTCTTTCTATATATATGAATTTTTTATCTTCTAAAAAGTTAAGAGATTCTTATGCATTAAAGGGAATGATTTAACACATGAAATTCATGCAGAGATAAATAATCGTTGACGCATAAAATTAATAAAAACATTCGTTTGCTTTTTATTAATAAATATACTTTGTAGAAAAAAATCATATACAATATTTCAAATTCTACGGTTTCTGTGTAAAAAATGAGTCTCCCTTCATAGAAATATAAATGCGACAGATTCAACGATCGTACGTCCGCGATAGCGTCGTCTATTTTATTCCTTTAATGATACCATCCTACGCATAAAGTCATCTCCGGAGATTCTCCCTCCATCTGATTCCTTTGCTCAAGCGTATTTTTTTCTCGGAATCGTCACGAATTCGGATGACGTCGATCCATGTGGGACGCATAACACAATGGAGACGTCGGGTGGCGACGTTATCGCCACGGATCCAACAAACGAAGAAGAGGAACGCTCGTGTCGTAGTTATTTCCGTCTTTCTTGGAGCGAACACGTGAAGAAGACGGGTGGAGACCAGAAGTCCGTCCGGCAGACGGACCTCCTGGCGTTCCGCCTGGGCTTAGGCTAATCCAAAATCCGGATTACCTGTGCGTCCC